TGATATTTGTCAGCTATGTTCACTCTGTAAACGACCTGGGATCGAACTGAGTGCCTTTAGGTTTTGTAATGATTGCGTTATTTATCCATTACACAACTACTTATGTCTATTAATTTCGATCTTTTATTAGTACTAATGTTACTGAATGTTATTCTACATTCTATATGTATTTACAATATTTTTATTTAGTCTTTTGAGACTACTTACATCATTAATGATGTTTATTCACTTTTACATTTTGACCGACTTGTTAGTAGATGACATGAATTTAATGAAATAAAATGAACTCCTTGTTATTCTACTAAAAACTTTGTTCTTACTCTTTACAGGTAAATGAGGAAAACAATGTCTATGAAACTTATATTAAGCATTAAGAATACTATTGAAGTTTAGTAAAGAATTTTAGTATCCGAAGGTATCCTGAGTTCGAATCACGCGAGGCAGGGCCTTGGTTGTGAACTACTGAGAGATCCCAAAATAGGATGAAACGGTCTTTCTGTGCTTCCAACGTCTTCATGGTGGTCTGGCTTCAGTTGTTTCGTGATCCCAACTATTAAAATTTTTGATTGTGAAAATGGTTTATCCTTGAAATTGAATAGAATTGTGTAATTAGGAACGATATGGAACAGAAATAGATCAGCTAAAGGTTCCAGCAACAATAATAATAACAACGTAGTCTGTAGAATAAAATGATTACTTACTTACTTACGTCTGTTACTCCTCGTCGAGGAGCACAAGCCGCCCACCAGAACACTCCATCCAACTCTGTTCTTGGCAATCCTCTCCAGTCCTTTCCAGTTGTTATTCATCCTTTTCATATCTAATTCTGTTTCTCAACATAGTGTTTTCTTTGGCCTTCCTCTTTTCCGCTTCCCTTTAGGATTTCAATTTGGGGCTTGCCTCGTGATTCAGTTTGGTGATTTCTGTAATGTGTGTCCTAACCATTTCCATCATCTTTTTCCTAATTTTCTTCCCAGATGGAAGCTGATTTGTTCGAATAAAATGAATGCATCATTCTACTTCACAGATTCTCATCAGCTACATACAACCTGAAACTATAATGATTAGTCTGATTATTGACAAATGTTTGACATAATTTAGTTTGTGAACTTTAAGTAAATGTTCAAAAGGTAACCAAAATCATAATAATACGGAATAATAGGAATACAAAGTGTATGAATAAACATGAATAAGATTAAGGTTGGACTTGATTATTTCAAATCATATTGATCAATGAGTAAGGAATTAATAATGAATAGTTGAATTTATGAGTTAATTAATTAGTTGAAGTTAGATATTAACACCGTTGGATACCAGCTCAGTGATCTAGAGGTTAAATGTTTGCTCCCGAGACCACAGGTCCCGGGTTCGAGTCCCATGTACAGGGTTATTGGATGCGCACTTCTGGGGAACCTCACACTAGAACGAAACAGACATCCAGTGCTTTCAGGTTTTCAATGATGGATTAGCTTAAATAGACTCATGAATTCAACTATTGGATATTATTTTTATTATATCCTAATCTGAAGAAGTGGCCTGCATTAAGTCACGAAACGTCGGGAATGAAATTCTTTTACCCATTAGAATATAACAAAAATATATTTATCATAATCAATATATAATTAAGAGGTTATCTAAGAGTAATGAGTTTAATAAGCCATTGGGTAATCGCTCAACATGATTAAATAAATAAATTTGTGGAAATCAATCAGATTATGTAAGAGATGAATATCAGAAAGAGAAAGAACAGTAGAATAATAAAAGATTAGGGACAAGGTTGAAAAGAAAGATGCTTAAAATTAACAAAGGTTACTAGAGAAATATCAAGTCGTCATGGTAGGGAAAAGTTAATCAAACTGTCCCTGTATATACACAGATCATGTCAGAAATGTCTGATAACGATCGCCTTTGCAAAACGGAGTGAAATTGATGCTTTGTATCTGTTGATTGTTTTGAATGCATCACTTATATTCACTTGATGTCCTCTATACACATGTTTGTCAATCGCACTTGCAAAGATTTTACTACCTTTTAGCCATAGTTTCATAGGAATATGTTCATCAAATTTTGTAGAGCCTCTACTCTATGTCCTTTCTACTTACCCGCTACCGCAGGTACATGTAAATTCACAAATGCAATTGAAGCTGACATCGGAAGAATTTTGATCTATTCACAATTGATTGATCACTGTGTGGTGATCAATGTCATGTGTGTCAACTCATTCTTAGTGCAGATCGAATGCTATCGATCATGTTGCAATATGGCCACTAATCTAGGTAACTCGACATTGCGTGCACTATGCTGAGATAGAATGGTGGTTGGAGGCAGTCAACAGGTCCACCTAGTGATCAATCAATTGTGAATACATCTCAGTCCTACAGGAGGTCAGTCATGGCCCGGATAGCTCAGTGGTAATGTCTCTGACTGTGAAGCTGAGTGACACGAGATCGAATCCTTCAGAGAGAACCAGTTCCCTTCAGATTTCAGGTACACCTTGCTAACGAGTGTCAAATAACACGAAACCCGGGTCCAGGGTTTCCTGTTGACTACCCCAAACCACCATTCTATCTCAATATTGATCCATCTTTGAATGGTATGATGAGCACTTAGTGTTGAATCATGAAACCGGTTGAACGGTAGGGAATATTCTTTTCAGTGCTTTCTTCACTCTTCCATAGGTTCTTTCTAAAATCTCATCCCCACTGATTACTTCTTTCATATTCCATTCTAAATCTTGTGTCTGAAGTGATTAAGCAACTGAGAAGCATGGTCCACATCATCACAGATAGTAAACGCATCATCATATCTAGATGTTATGGTGTTATGTTCTAGATTTCGTGTTTTAGTTTCGTTTGTTCTAAGTTAGCTATGAAGATATCGGCCAAGATAGATCCTATTGGTGATCTCATGACCACTCCATCGGTTTGTTTGTATGGTTGATAGTTGGATTGGGAAAAAACCGTTTATGCGAAGGAAGTAATTCAAATTAGTCACAAATTATATGAATGCTTTCTTCTAATGGTATATTCGTAAATAATGAAGGCATATCAAAAGTTACTATGAAAGTATCAGACATATTCAACTGATCCATTTCTTTGGAAAGCTGAACTGCGTCTTTTAAAGCATTAGTCACCATTTTTTACGAATTAGTTCTAATAATTTGGCTAACTACATAGCCAACTAATGATATGGTGAGTTCACTGTAGACATCATCACCATAGTTATTATCTGGTATTTTTGCGAGTGTAAATCTTGAAGAATAAAATTGCCTAAAAAGAAGAATTTATCATTGAATCAATCACTCTTGTCTCATAAATGAATGAGTATTGTGATTGAACCGAAGATGTTCAATCCAGTAGGTAACTTTCAAATCGTGAGCAATAAAAAAGACACCAGTCGAAGAAAGTTCCATCATTTTTCTCTCAAGCCAGATGCAGCTTAACTCCCTATCCCCCCTACTTCATCCAGTCAACTAAACAGCATTATTAACCCTTACAGTGTAGTTAAAAGGCGATTACTTGAACTGGTACTTATTCAATGAATTACATCATACTTGCTATGCACGATTATTAAGTGATGCTAAACCATAATTACGTTAGCTGCTTAAGATACTGTCAACTGCTTTCGGCCAGTGTACCGAAAATTAATGTGTTTGTAGGTATCACTGCTAAGGTTTGACTTAATAGTTTTAAATAAATTGAGCATAGGATAGAAGGTCAAACATGTGATGGCATTTGAAGAGAATGGCACTATGTTCTCGTTTCAGAGTGAACATCAGCTCTAAGATGCAGGTACATCCAGCTGATGAGTTTCGATTAAGACGAAATGAGCATCCTGGATTCCACTGCTAGCCACTATCCATCTTTGCTTCAAACAATGAAATGTGTAGTTGAACGTTCCACATTAAGTAGTCAAAAAAGGAATGCTTGGATCAAACATTTTCTCAATCAATTATTAATCTATTCATATTTGATAGTTGAAAAATCTATTAATATTATCTGGGATTCGTAGCCTTTTGAAAGCAGATACATCAGTTCCCTAATCAAGAGTCACATTTGAAAAATCCCAGCATACAACATTATCACACCTTAGGGAAAAAACGCGCTATTATAGCTAGATAACTCTTCATGTATGATTCTAGTGTTCGCTCAGTTCATTATTCATGCTCTTCTGAATCTAGTAAATATGAATTCAGCATTTCTTACTTATTTACACCTGTTACTCCCAATAGAGCATAAACCGTCAACCAGCATTCTCTAACCCACTCTGTCCTGGGTCTTCCTTTCCAGTTCTATACAATTGTTGTTCATTCTTCTCATGTCTGCCTCCATTTCTTGGAGTAATGTGTTTTTTGGTCTTCCTCTTTTCCTTTAGCCAGGAGGATTCCATGTGAGGGCTTGCCTTGTGATGAATTTGGATGTTTTCCTTAATATGTGTCCTATGCCACTTCCAGCACTTCTTTCTGATTTCTTCCTCCACTGGAATCTGGTTTGTTCTCTTCCACAATAGGTTCTTGCTGATAGTGTCCAGCCAACGGATCCGAAGTATTTTGCGTAAACAACTGTTAATAAACACAGTATTCCTATTGATGTTCATATATTGATTTATCTATATAGTTCTAATTCTAATGCGATTTAATCAATTTATCACATTCAACACTTTAAATGATGATATTTCTATAGTCAACTGGGAAATAAGAGATTATTTGTCTTAAATTACTAGTAAATTCATTTTAATTAGTTCAAGAGAATCTATTCTTCCTATACATTTCCTCTCTCTCGCTCTCTCTTTATCCCTTTGTCTCTTAGTCTATAGACTATGGATAATTTCATGTTGAAATCACATGATGATAAACAAAGACTAAATGTTTGAGGGATAAATAACTTTTTATATAATACTAAATACATCTATTACAATTGGTCAATAGACTAATAAAAGATAAACATCTTGTCACTTTCAAATGTCCTTGATATGATGTTTTAAAAGGTTTATTTATTGATTCATAATGTAATAAAACCTGAAGAAATAAAGAAAGGAAGAGAGGTAGTAGTAGTAGTAGTAGTAGTAGTAGTAGTAGTAGTAGTAGTAGTAGTAGTAGTAGTAGTAGTAGTAGTAGTAGTAGTAGTAGTAGTAGTAGTAGTAGTAGTAGTAGTAGTAGTAGTAGTAGTAGTAGTAGTAGTAGTAGTAGTAGTAGTAGTAGTAGTAGTAGTAGTAGTAGTAGTAGTAGTAGTAGTAGTAGTAGTAGTAGTAGTAGTAGTAGTAGTAGTAGTAGTAGTAGTAGTAGTAGTAGTAGTAGTAGTAGTAGTAGTAGTAGTAGTAGTAGTAGTAGTAGTAGTAGTAGTAGTAGTAGTAGTAGTAGTAGTAGTAGTAGTAGTAGTAGTAATAGTAGTAGTAGTAGTAGTAGTAGTAGTAGTAGTAGTAGTAGTAGTAGTAGTAGTAGTAGTAGTAGTAGTAGTAGTAGTAGTAGTAGTAGTAGTAGTAGTAGTAGTAGTAGTAGTAGTAGTAGTAGTAGTAGTAGTAGTAGTAGTAGTAGTAGTAGTAGTAGTAGTAGTAGTAGTAGTAGTAGTAGTAGTACTAGTAGTAGTAGTAGTAGTGGCAGTATTACTGTGTATTTTGGTCATGAAAATCTAATGTTAGAAATCGCCCTTATTACAAAAGCATTACATTATCAATAATGTATGCGTTTTTATGATCTATAATGAAGCTTCCGTGGATCATAATTCATCCCAAATTGGAATAGTATTCTATTTGTTTTGTATGCGATCGTATTAAATTAGTGAAGTAACTTTACAATTTAATTCTTGTCTTTCCTTACTTTTCATATTCCATTAGAATCAATGATTTTTCTTCTATTGTAATGAACACTTGTAATATAAATTCAATTGGTATTGTTGTTTACTTGATACTTCCCATTGATGTTTCGGACTACAATAGATCAATCACTTATTGGAATATGTGCATACTGTACGGACTGCCTCGTTCTTGCTACTAAGTCACAAGCATTATAAGTAAAGATGGATGTTGACTATTAGGAGGAAACGCTCGTCCTGAATTCCAGTGCTAATCACTATTCATCTTTGCTTATCATACTTGTAACTTAAGTTTTTTATAATTTTGTCATAGTAGTCACGTAGTATATTCAACTATTCAGCACAAATCAACAAAATATCTTCTACTCTTAATTTGTACAACTAGATGATGTTTAAGTAATTCCCGTCACCAGCTAGCAACTCTGACAATTATTTAAGTCACAGTATCAGACTTTTCAACAGTACACATCAATAATCGTAGGCTGAGTTGAACCTAAAGACTTTATGCGACATAAGATGAATAATTCTTTCAAGGTATTGAATTAGAACTCAGCAATCTTGATTTCAATTTTCGTTAATTTTACGATTTACCCTTGAGGTGTTTACTACTGATCTCGACAGATATAAGTAGTATGTATCATCAATCGAAAATGAAATGTCTGGTGACGAAAGGTTAATCAGACCGAGGAAAAGAAAACGAGAACAGAGAATGATTAATGTGAAAATGATGGAACAATAAAGTCAATTGATTGACATTTCGCAATTGAAGTATTTACCGTATAGTTCTCAGATGTTCTGTAATTTTGTGTTCATTTACATTCAGCCGTCCCCATTTGCGTGTTATCATTCACTACATCCTGATGATCATCTAATATAATCAATGAATCAGTATCTTATTCCCAAATTAACCAAACGGACAAATGTCAAAGTTAGTCACATGTCAGTATATCGTTATCATTATGTTTTTATAATACAGCTTACATTTTATATATATGTTTCATAAACTGGGAAATCCGTAGAATCTATGAAACATTAAACAGATATCTTCTTGTAAGTTGATAAGCTTCAACAGATCACAGCTCCATCACTTTACAGAGATTTATTTACAATATTGATGTCACAGGTTTAAATGATCTCTTCACATGCCATTTTATTATTTTAATCAAAGAATATAATCATGAGTCAATTGAAGCTAGACCACCATGGAAAACCTGGAAGCACTGGACGGCCGTTTCTTCGTAGTATGGGAATACCTCAGCAGTGCGTATTTGCGATCCTATGCATATATTCATTCTGCTAACCCAGCCACGAGAAGGCGGGGGTGTTGTTCACCTAGGTGATTTATTAGTGTATCATAAACAGCTTAAATATTATTATTATATATTATTCTTTATAATCTAAATATGTGTTTATAGTAGGCGCTTATGTTTTATTTCCCATGAATTGGTGACATTTGATGAATGAATAACTATGGTAATCAATCATCATACAAGTTATTTACAGTTAGATATAATCAACGTTTAACCAGATTGTTTACTTGAAGGACAGTGATCTAATCTGATTGTTTCTATTAAGAGTAGAACTAAAAAGAGATTCAAATCGAAGGGTATTTGTTTAAATAGTGATTGACTAGCTTATAATGATCAAATGATTGTGGTTGCTTTGCATTTCTTGTATAAGGATAAGTGATTATTGATATAGGGGTTGTGGAGATTATCAGGTTTTTGATTGAGATCATGAACTCATTGATGTTAGACCACCACTAAAAACCTAAAAGCACTAGATGGACGTTTCTTCCGATTGAGGGGCTCCTCAGCAGTGAATGTGAGCAGGATCGTGGATGCGCACTGATGAGATGTCCCATACTAGGACGAAACGGCCGTCCAGTGTTTTTAGGTTTTCAATAGTTGTCTAACAATGATCCGTTTATGATGCCAATCAAAAAATTTCAAACATTCATTATCAATGATAAATAGATGTTTTGTTATATTACTAATGAGTAGAAAAACTGTATTTCTAACGTTTTATGACTTCTTCTGAGTAAATCGATAGATAACCGAAATTAAATTAATACACAGGTATGAGGACAGCCCACAGATGAATTCAAAGAAGCTCAGAAACGACTGCAGACATTCCATCCAATAATTTTTTCGAAGAACATTTCAGAATCTCAACGTGTAGCTTCCCTATTGAACAAATGCTGAAAACAATTGTATACGAATTAGATGACTGTAATGATGATTGAACTTTTACTGAAAACTAGACATACCTGAGAGTTATGTATTATATTTGACACTGTTTAGAATAGTGTTCTTTCTCACTCTTCTTACGTTCTCTCATTTGCGACTTTGAGGGCTCTAGTGTCCAAGTGCTCAAGGTGTACGTGATATATTAAGAGTCTAAGTTCTAGATATAACAGAAAGAAATAATGCAGAATATTTTCAATGTTATGTAATCTTTGGTCAATTTGATACCCAATGCTCAATTTATTTGAAACTATCAAGTTCAACCCTGATATTGATACGTATTTACTATCAATGTATTACATCATCTAAGTGAATTATAATGAAGTGAGTGAATACATAATCAATTTATTACATTTTAATAATCTGAAGTAAATGGAAGAAGTTTTATATCAAAATCGCTTGCTATTATACTTACTTACTTACTTACGCCTGTTACTCCTCGTGAAGGAGCATAGACCGCTCACCAGCATTCTCCATCCAACCCTGTCCTGAGCAATCCTTTCTAGCTCTTTCCAGTTGTAATTCATCCTTTTCATATCTGCTTCTATTTTTCGACGTAATATGTTCTTTGGCCTTCCACTTTTCCGCTCCCCTTCACGATTCCGAGTTATGGCTTGCCACGTGATGTAGTTTAATGACTCCATAAGACAATGGAGAAACTTTGGGGGATGCGATTCCATGGTAGCCTGTGACCAACAATAGGTTCATACGCCATTTGTTCCCTCAGTATCCTGGAGCTCATGTGCATCATTGATTTCCAAATCCCCTAGACGGATTCTCCAGATCCACCAACCCGATTAAAGCGTCGGATATTCTCTTTTCGTCCTCTCAATTTCGTAAATAATAGTAATGCGGTGAGAAGTCAGTGAGTAGGACTTCTCTGGTAGTGGTTGCATACACGTGGCCATATGAGAGCATTTTTCGAGGATGAGCTGAATTTCCCCACTCACGGACGTACAAGAACATTTGAAGCATCATTTTATTACTAATAAGCTAAAGTGAGAAAAGGTTTAACTTGTAAAGTTGTTCATATTATCCAATAATATCTCAATTCTATCATGTACTGAATATGTATCGTATTAAAAAGCTTTCCATGACATTTAAGTTAACTTTCAAACAACATCTGATAATTTGTTCACCATATTCAACCGATCATTCTACTTAAATTTGAGAATTAAACATAATTTCAATGAATACTAATGAAAATTATACATAGAAACCAGAATATTCTAAAAATTCTTCAATTCAATGAAATGACAATCATTTTAATGGTCAAGATCATGAGTCAATTGAAGCTAGACCACCATGGAAAACCTGGAAGCACTGGAAGGTCGTTTCGTCCTATCGTGGGACTCCTCAGCAGTGCGCAACTACGACCTCGCCCCCTGCGAGATTCGAACTCAGAACCTATCGATTTCGTGTGTGAACGCTTAACCTCTAGACCACTGAGCCGGCATCCAATAGTGTTAATGTCTAACTTCAACTAATTCACGAAATTGAGCGACACATCCACTATTATCTTCAGTGAGTTACTATCTCACAACAGATCTGGTTGAACTCCATTGGTCACTACATCTCATTAGAACTCCAGGATATACCTGCTGAAGCCAGTCACTAGTGAGCATATGTTGATTAATATCAAATGGGTTTTGTGGATATTATCATATTATAATCAGTAACAATCTTCATATTCTATCCATAATACAATCACAATCAAATTGACTAATATTTAACTTTATAATTACTTAATATATCAATTATTTATTGATTAGGATTACCTAGAATAGGGATTGAATAAAGAATGCTGATGAGTGGCCTATATCTCCTTCATGAAAAGTAATAGGCATAAGTAAGTATTGATTGGTTACAGTCACTATTCATGAGAATAAAACATAATCAGAATCAACAGTTTATTTATCAAATGACGCCAATGAATAGTTTTACGGTTGGAAATTTTTTAAATAATAAAAAAAAACTTTGAATTGTCAACAGGAAAATAACAAACATTCAGTTTTAAAATCATTTTTTCGTAATTATTATTATTATTAGTGACTTTATTTATTTATTTTAACACATAGATATTGGTACAAGGAAACACTAAATATATATGCTTCACACAAATCTCATTTGATATGTGTGGGGGCTGTGATACTGCTCGGGTGCCCAAACCGAAGCACGTAGTTTTCTTAGCTGGCCACCCCCCGAGCCTTCGACCTGAAGGTCTGGTTCACAAGGCAGTATAGTATCGTAAGGAGATGCAGTCCTATGGTAGCCGGTGACCAACAATAGGTTCACACATCATTTGTTCCTTCAGCATCCTGGAGCTCATGTGCACCATTGATTTGGAATCAGGGTTTTCCAACTCCCCTAGATGGAGTCTCCATGTCCACCAACCCTTTCGTCCTCTCAATTTCGTAAACAATACCCCCTTCGCGAGAAGGCAATGAGTAGCACTTCTCTGGAAGAGGCTATATACACTTTATTCAATATAGAATTTTCAGTACAAAGTATTTCAATAAGTTTTGTATTCCTTACTTCTTGATCGGTCTTGACGATAACATATTT